CCACCCCTCCATGGATGGGCACAGGACCGAGACTTTAAGGTAATGAACAAATGAGAAGCTTTTTCTTTGTCAAGGGCCAACTTTCTCCTCCCCCGTTCGCGGGAACGCAGGGGCAAGGCCAGTGTGCCCTGGATGGGCTCTCGGCTGCAGGGAGGTGGCTGGGCCCTCGGCTGCAGGGAGGTGGCTGGGCCGGGACTGTCCCAGGGGCCTCCCCTTCGCCTGCCCGTGTCCGGAGCCTCCCTGAGAGCCAGGCCTGGCCCGGCGTGGTCTGTCCCCAGGTTCCCTGGGCTGGTTCTGCAGTAGCAGAGGCATAGGGGGTGGTGCAGCTTGGGACATCGCGGCAGGCATCTTGGAAGAGGTGGTCTGTGTGCAGGTGGAGTAGGGCTTTCTGGTTCCCTTTGAGCCGAAGCACTCAGACTTGCCCACACTGTCCTGCAGGGGCCCTGTGGGCTGCCCCTTCCCCATGGCCTGTCGGGGTGGGGCCAGTGTAGCCCTCTGGCCTTGCTGTCTCCACCCCACTGCCCATGCCTCAGGAAGGCGGGGGCCCCCAGAGCTCCCCGAGACTGCAGGCTGAGACGTGCAGCCAGGCGGGCGTGGGCGGGCTGCAGGAGTCTGCCCCAGTTTCATGGGGCCTCAGCCCCGTCCGAGGAGAAAGTGCCGTCCTGGGCCTTGTTGTTGCAGTGACGTGCCTTTGAATCACGCCCAGTGAGGTGAGCCTGTAAAACCAGGTACCTGGAGGCCAAGGCGGGCGGGTGCGGCCTGTTGACGCCTGGGCCCTGGGGCTCACAGGGCGCTCAGGGAGGAGGGCTGCCCAGCACTGGGTGTTGGGTAGATTGTGGGGCGGAGACGCCTGACCAGTGACTTCCCAGACCCCAGGCAGGCTCTGTCCAGGTGGCCTGGGGCCTGGCCGTGCCACTGCAGGAGCCCCACAGGTGGTCTGGGTGGAGCCCTGGTCTGTGCTGAAGCCCCCGGCTCCTGAGAGGGTGGCCGGAGGGTCAGTGTCTGTGACCCTTGTGTGGCCACTGGGCAGAGCCCTGGCATGGTCTTGATCCCTGCAGACCTCACTCTGGTCTCCTTGCACTGTCCCTGGTGGTCACAGGTCTTCCCCTGGCCTTTATGGCCCCCACAGGCTTGGAGCTGTGGGCGTGGGATGCCCTGTCCCCCACAGCTTTGGATGTTCGAGCCCTGCCGGCACCCTGGCCAATCAGCCTAGGGTGAGGGCGTGCCCAGCCGGGGCTGTCTGCTCAGCCGGGCCGACCCAGGGCAGTGCATGGCCTCCTGTGTGATGGCCTCCCTCTCTCCCAGGCACAAGCCTCTCTGCCCTGTTTACAGATGAAGGAGGCCGTGGGGCCTCTTTGCCTTTGACACGGTCCCTCCCCAGTCCCTTCTCCAGCCCCTTCTTGCACCTGCAGGACCCACCTGCCCTCCCCAGCCTGAGGCCGCAGTGTCCCCTGAGGGGTGGCTTGTGGCAGCTGTGGCTGGATGGCGGGCCCAGGGTGCAAGGTGTGGCCAGGGAGAGGACTGGGCAAGAAGAGCCCCAGGGCCCCTGTTCTGGCTCCAGGTCTCTTGGCCCCGTAGGGGTCCCACCTGAGTGCCATGGCCCCTCCTGGGCAGCCCTGGGTTCTGCTCAGGGGACCGTCCCCCAGCTGGCCCTGCAGGGTGCGGCGGGCAGCCCCACGCCGTGAGGGGCCCCACCGTGTGCCGTAGATTACTTTTATGTTCCGTGACGACACCTCGCTGGGAGGAGAGCCGTCTCCCGGGCCTCTTCAAAGACGGCTATTAAAGATGAGAGGGCTTAAGCGAAGCGCTGGCGTGGGAGGCAGTGGGACCCACCCCGCCCCATGCAGGCCCTTCCGTGCTAGGTCCCCTTGAGAAGGAGGCCAGACGCTGAAGAGCGGGGGTATCCGGAAGGGGAGCTGGCGGGTGCCCTCCTGGCCAGGGCCCAGAGCCCGCACTGGCCACCCGCCTTCCCTCCCCCCTCGATGGAGACAAGCAGCAGGCTGAGACTGGAAGAGGGGCCGCCCCAGCCCAGGGCTGTCCGTGCCACCCCTGGCGTGGCCATGGCCCAGGAGGTGCCGCAGGGCTGAGTGTCCGTGGGGGCGCTCGTGGGCTGTAAAGCCCCCCGGGAGCAACAGGTAGGGCCGGGAGCCTACCTGGGAGACCCGTCCTGGGAGCAGAGCGCCAGAGGTGCCGTGGGCCCGTGGGGTGTGTGTGTCCGTGTGTGAGCCTGTGGACAGGCTGCAGAGTCGAGGGCGCGTGTCTGCGCATGTGTGTCCATGTCTGCACGCGTGTGTGTGCTGGGGCCCTGGAGTCCACACTAGTGGTTGCCATCATATCAGAGTCCCCTTGTCCCCATCCCTGGAGGTTCCAGGTCTACGTTTCCGATTCCCCAGGGGTGTTCAGGGCCCTGGCATATTCCGGGCTGGGGTGGCTGCAGGAGCCCAGGCTGGTCGGGACCACGGCTGACCAGGGCCAGGAGCTCAGGGCTGAGCAGCCTTGTCACGGCAGAACCCTTCCCTGCAGCCCTGGAGTCCGGGGCTGGCCTCCTGTGGGCGGACTGGGAGGGTGAGGGTGGGTGGTCAGGGATGGGGGGTGAGGGCAAGGGCATCCTAACCAGAGCACCAACCGTGCCTGTGCCCTGTGTGTGGGCATTGCCACTGCCCCCAGGATCAGTGCAGGGCCACACACTGGGGGCACGTACCCCACTTCAGAGATGGGAGGCTGGGGCTCAACAACAGCGCCTGTAGGGCCTTCACACAGCCGCTGCGCACCCTGCACCTGGCGTTCTGTCCCACTCCCTGCGGCGGCGGGTGGCGGATGACGGTGGGTGGGTGGGGGAGCGTGGGGGCGTGCAGTCCCGTGTCTGCTGGCCCCTCTGTTGCCCAGCCTGCCCTGGCGCTGGGCAGGGCCACTGAGAGGGGACCGCCGTGAGGAAGGGAGGGCAGGCTGCAGCCTCCCTGCTGGCTGTTCCCTTGGACGGCTGTTTGGGGCTGCCAGGTCTGGGGGAGGGCGGCCTGGGCTGGGGACCGTGGGGACGGCTGCCTGGCTCACTAAGCCCTGCTGCCTCTTGTCCCAGGGCCGCCCAGAAGCTCAGCCTGGCTTCCAAGCGCAAGAAGCCGCCACCACCGCCAGCGCCTGCCCACACCTCCCCCTTCCCCACCGACTTCAGCAGGGTCCTGCGGCTGAGCCCGCCCCCGGTGCCCCCCTGCCTGCTCAGGGCCCCCAAGGCCAAGGACAGCCCTGGAAGCACTGGAAAGGTAGGCTGGGGGAGAGGGGAGCACAGGAAGGCAAAGGGAGGGTGCGGGAGAGGCCCCCCTTAATTCTCAGGCTGGACCACGATGGGCAGCAGGGGAGGCTGAGGCCCAGGGCATTGCCTGGCTAAGGCAGGCCAGGCATATGGGCGGGTGGGGAGTCGTGAGCCACCAGGTCCAGGGCACGAGTGCGAGGACAGCCGGGCCGTTGGCTTCCTGAGAGCAGGCTTGGTCTTGGCAGGGAATCCTTTGCTCAGCTCCCACGAGACACACCTCCACACTCAGGCAGGTCCTGGTCCCAGCTCGCCACGGGGCAGGGCAGCACGACGTGGAGGGGTCGATGGAGGCTGCTTGTTTCTGGTGGGGAAACCGAGGCCTGTAGAGGGCCAGGGCTCGGCCCTGTGTCTCCTGGCTTCCCCAGGAGCCCAGTTCTTTGGGGCCTCCAGGAGCTTGGCAGGCTGGGAGTTGTGCACGTGCCCGGCCTCAAGGGCCCTCCTGGGGAGCTGGGCTGCAGTGGGTTCTGGGGGTCGGAAGGCGGGGCAGGCCATGTGCACCGAGTGCTTGCCCTGCCCTCTGCCCTCTGCCCGCCAGGCCTCTCTGAGCAGGGCGGTGGTCGGGTGGCTCTCAGGCTGCTCCAAGAGCCCTGAGGCTCACTGGGCCCCACAGGCTCCCTCTCACAGAGGCGGCCACACAGTCCTCAGGGTCTGGAGCCCTGCACCTCCCAGGGGTTTCCCTTCCTAGACAGGGCCCACGCAGGTGAGCCACGTGATCTGCAGAGGCCCCTGTTCTGCCCATCCTGGTGGCCCTTGGTGGTGCTCTCGCCCCTTCCTGGTGTCTGCTGGGGCCCAGTAGGGCAGGCGGGCTCAGGCCCAGAAAGCCTGGCTGCCCTCGTTTCTGCCCCTCTAGTCCCACACTCCAGCCTCCCCAGGCTCCCCAGCCTCCCTGGCCTCTCCGGCCTCCCGCCCTCCCCGGGCTCCCCGGCCTCCCCGGCCTCTCGACCTCCCTGGCCTCCCCAGGCTCCCTGGCCTCTCCAGGCTCCCCGGCCTCCCTGGCCTCTTGGCCTCCCCAGCCTCCACAGGCTCCCCGGCCTCCCAAGGCTCCCCGGCCTCCCCGGCCTCCCTGGCCTCCCCAGGCTCCAGAGCGCAGGATCTCTGCTCTACCGAGTTGTGCCTCGCAGTGCCAGGGCAGGAGGGCCCAAGAGTGCAGGGCACACGGCAGGGGGTTGCGGCCAGCATGTGTCAGTATGGCCGAGGCCTTAGGCTGACCCAGCGGGTCCGTAGCACTGAACCCTGGTCTGGAGACCCTCTGCTCCTTCCCTGGAGCTGGGCTCAGCCCCTCCCGCCTGAGGGCCTCCTGCCCCAGGCCTGCAGTGGTTCCTGGGAGGTTCTGGCAGCTGTGGTGAAGCTGGTGCAGGGGTCACCTGTGCATGGCACCCGCTCGGGCCAGGTGCTGCGTGGTTGGCACCGTGGAGCATGCGTGTGGCCAAGGGGAATGTGGCTACTGCCTGGTGGGCTTCCCCACCAGCCACGTGGGTCTGCACACTGGGTGCCGTCTACCTCTGACTGGATGCTCCGTGAGTCTCCCTCAAGGCCCGTGGGGGGTGGCAGCACCAGTCCCCGTGGAGGGCCAGGGCCTGCTGACTTCAGCACCCTGTTCTCTTTGCTCCCCGCAGCGCCTCAGGACAGGGTGGGGGTGCAGAGCTGAGGTTGGGGGCCCCGGGGAAAGTGAGCAGCACCCCGGTCTCCCACCCGGCACCTACTTCCTGGCTCTGACCATGGCCTGGCCACACCGCCTGCCTGTCTGCAGACGGTCAGGGTGGTGGGGCAGCATCTTGGTTACATGGGGCCAGGGGCTCCCTTAAGAACATTGCTGCAGGGGCCTGCTGGTGTCCCCCGAGCTGTGGCCCCGGGCGGGAGCCTCTCACCCCACCTCCCCGGCCAGCCAGCACTCCTTGGCAGGGGGCCGCCCCCTCCTCTCTGAGGCAGATATACCTCGGCTGGGTCCCTGGACCACTGTGGGTCCCTGGACCACTGGACCTCCCTGGAACCCAGGGGCCCTGGTTGGCAGCCTCCCAGCCCCAGCCGCAGCCCCGGCCCGTGTCTCTCGCCTGTGGGGTTTTTAGCACTGATGTCACGTAGTCAGAAATGCCGCTTGAAAGGCGTTTAATATTGTCACGGAAAAGAAGTTAGATTACGTTCGATTTCTGACATTAATGTGCTACTTAAGATAATTCATCACATCGTGGTATTAAAAGACATCCCTTTCTTGGTGGGTGCCGAGGGGCGCCCCTCCCCCTCCTGCCTGGGCCACCTCTTGGGAGCTGGGAGCCCTTTTTATGCAAAATGTGCTTCTCCTCACTGCAGGCAGCTGTTCTGCAGGGCCACTGGATCTGCAGATCTGCACGTCTGGGGGCCGATGGGCTTGTCTCCCGCAAAGACCCTGTCACTTCCCACAGGAATGACAATGGCCTGGCGCTGCAGGGGAGGGAGGAGGCAGGTGGGGCAGGCGGGGTGGTGCTGCCCCGCTGTGGGCCTGCTCTGTCCTCTCCCTGGGGAGGCAGGTGGCAGCCCTGCCTGGCGCTGGGTTTGGGTCAGGATTAATGTCGCGGCCCCTCGAGAGCGGCCCTGGGAGGTGGGAGAGCTGCCTGGGGCCTGCTCCCACTGGGGACCCTCTCAAGTCTGCTGAACGCATTTGGCTCCTGAAGTGGCACGGAGTTCATGCTGGAAAAAATTGCCCAAAATTACAGGAAAGTGCACATTTCGTCTGCTCTGCGGCAGCGTTGGAAATGAAATGGTCGCGTTCGTGTCGTCGGGGGTAAAGGAATCGATTCTGGCCTAATGGAGCTCGGGCTCTGAGTGAGCAGTAGAAGAGCGTTCCTCCCCGGAGAGTGGGGAGATCGGCTTTGCATATCAATTTGCCACTTGCCGAGGGGAGTGGGTGGCGCCGTGTGCGGACTACCCACGGTAAACCAATTTTGCCCACGCTATGTATGTCAGTTACAATTAAATCCGTGAAAAATACTGGCTCTGAAATGAGTCTCGGGTAATTTGATTTACACTGCGGTGTAGAAAGAAGGGATTTCATCAGCGAGTGGACGGCGGTGTCCTCTGGCCCTGAGAAGGGGTGTGAGTTCAGGGTGCTCAGGGCTGAGGGCTCCTGCCCAGCAGAATCTGTCAGCCCGCAGGTGCAGCACCTTGTATCAGTGGCCTGCACGGGTTTGGGGGCTGCCGTGCAGTATTCTGGGCTCTGGCATCCTGGGGCCCTGCCCCTCCCTGCTGAGTCACCCGTTGGCTGATGGTCGGGGCACGCACAGGGCCCTGGTGCGGTCACTTTTGTGTTCCAGAGACCCCTGGTGGGTTGGGCCATGAGCCGAGGTTGCCTGGCCACCAGCTGTGGACAGGACTCTCAGGCCCAACCCCAGTGCCTGCCTCTCTGCCCAGCCTTGTTGCCCAGAGCCCCCCGCAGGGGCTGGTGAGGCGGGGGACGCCAGGGCCCATGCCTCCTGTGCCTCTCTGTAGAGCGACTCCTTGGCATCCTGCTGACTGGGTCCTGCAGCACACGGGGCTGGGTGCAGTGCCTGGGGCTGGCTCTGGGTCAGAGGCGGCAGCCCCTCCCTTCCCCAGGCCCTCAGCGGCCTCTGAGCTCTTCCCTGCTGTGCTTGGCTTGTTCCTGGCCATCCCAGATGCCCGCCAGGCTGCAGTCTCCCAGCCCTGCAGGACTTTGCCAGGCCAGGGCTGGCGGAGGGCAGGCCGGGGCTGGGGCGGGGCAGGGCTGTGTGTGGTGTCCCTGCAGTTTCGGCAGGCGGGAGAGTGGTCCTGCCTCCCCACCCAACTCTGCGCTGCCCAGCTCCCTTGCCCCCTGCCTCTCCGGGCTCGTGGTCTGCCTGGGACTTGGTGTAGGACACGCTCGCTCTGCCAGGCCCGCTGTCCTGACTCGCATGAGGCTGCTCCTGCCTTGTAATTAGCGGCCAGCTGGGTGACTCCTCAGGTGTCCCCTGCCCCCGTCCCCCCGCTCCCAGGTGAAGGTTATGCTGCGGATCTGGGCAGCCCAGGGGACCCAGCGCTCGGCCGAGTCCTCGTCCTTCCTGAAAGTGGACCCTCGGAGGAAGCAGGTGACCCTGTACGATCCGGCTGCTGTGCCCCTGGGCAGCGTGGGCTCCAGGCAGGCCGCCACGTCCGTGGTCCCCAGGATGTTTGCATTCGACGCTGTCTTCCTGCAGGACTCCGAGCAGGTACTGCTGGGGCTCTAGTGCCGACCTCCTGGGGCCTGGGCTGCATCTCAGTGTGGCACGGGGCTTGGTTCTGTGGAGGAGGAAGGAGAGGGGGGGCCCCATGGCTGCACCCCTATTTCCACCTAGCTCTCCCTGGGGCAGCACCTGGGGTGTTGGGGCCCCCCTCCGTGGAAGCTCTCTGAGCAGTGTGTGCTTCCTGGACACGGCTCTCTGCTGTGTGCACTACGCGTGTGGGTGTATTCTGGGGGCTGTGCTCTGTGTGTGTATGCGTGTGTGCACACGCCCAGCTGTGTTCATGTGTGTTCTGTGCCGTGTGTGTGGGTGCTCATGCACAACTGTGTTCATGTGTGCCGTGTGTGGGCGCACATGCCGAGCCATGTTCGTGTGTGCTCTGTGCTTTCTGTGCTGTGCATGTGCATACGCCCAGCTGTGTTTGTGTGTGCTCCGTGTGTGTGGGTGCACACGCCCAGCTGTGTTTGTGTGTGCTTCGTGTGTGTGGGTGCACACGCCCAGCTGTGTTCGTGTGTGCTCTGTGCTTTCTGTGCTGTGTGTGTGGGAAGGGCTGTCTTCCAAAAGGGGCAGCTGACCCGCTGTGCTCGCCCTCACAGGCCGAGGTCTGCTCGGGGACCGTGACGGACGTGCTGCAGTCTGTGGTCGGCGGGGCCAATGGCTGTATCCTGTCCTTTGGCCCCAGGAGCCTCGGTGAGTGCAGGCCGCCCTGTGAGCTCTGCCGGCCGCCCCCCTTGTGCATTGTCTGCCATCCCGACTGGCTCTGGGTGGGGACGAAAGACGGCTCCCTGTGTTGGGGAGAAGCACAAGCCCTGGGAGCAGGGGCAGAGGCCCCAGCTAGGTCAGAGGTCCCAGGTTGGCCCCGAAGCCTCAGTGGCCCCAGGTCGACTCCGGGACCGGGGCGGTGGGCGGTCCTCCAGTGCTAGAGCATGTCCTGGAGTGCGGGGTGCACTCTGATGCCTCCATGGCCCCCAGGGAAGTCACACACCATGATCGGGAAGGACAGCTCACCGCAGAGCCTGGGCGTCGTGCCCTGCGCCATCTCCTGGCTCTTCAGGCTCATGGAGGAGCACAAGGAGCGGACAGGCACCCGCTTCTCTGTGCGTGTCTCAGCCGTGGAGGTGTGCGGCCGCGGCCAGAGCCTGCGGGACCTGCTGGCCGAACTGGCCTCTGGCAGCCTGCAGGATGCCCAGTCCCCAGGCTGCTTGCGGGAGGACCCCGAGTGTGGGGCACAGGTGCGTCGACCCTCCCTCCCGCTTGGGGTGGAGGGGTGTGGGCTGGGGGCTGCTCTCTGTCCGAGCCCCTCATGGCGCCTTCACCTCCACCCTCCTGCAGCTGCAGAGCCAGAGTGAGCTGCGGGCGCCCACGGCTGAGAAGGCGGCCTTCTACCTAGACGCAGCCCTGGCTGCCCGCAGCGCCAGCAGGGCAGACGGTGCTGAGGATGCCCGGTGCGGCTCCCACCTGCTCTTTACGCTCCATGTCTACCAGTACCGTGTGGAGAAGTGCGGCCAGGCAGGAAGTAGGTGCTGCCCGGCAGGTGTCGCTGAGGCCCAGCCCAGGGCATGTCCCATCCCCGAAGCGTCCCTGAAGATGCCTGCTGGGCCTGGGCCTAGGGGCAGGGCCTGGGTGCCCAGGCCTCACTGTCACTGCCTGCCCTGTGGTTTCAGTGTCTGGAGGCCGCAGCCGTCTGCACCTCGTCGACCTGGGCAGCTGTGAGGCTGGGTCCAGCAGGGGTGGGGAGGCCGGAAGCCCCATCAGCCTGTCCCTGCCGGCCCTGGGCAGCGTCATCATGGCCTTGGCCAGTGGAGCCAAGCATGTGCCGTACCGGTGAGTGCGGGCACCTGGCCGGCACTAGCTGGGGTGGCCCCTGGACAGCACGTCTCCGCCCACCTGTGCAGTGCTCTGCAGCCCCGGGTCATCAGTTCTTCTCTCATTCACCTCCTGCTGGACCTCAGCTCAGTGCCCGCCGGCTGCCGTGCCCAGGGCGGAGCTTGTCGGCCTCTGCTGCTGCGGGCTACCTGCTGCCCAGCCTCCCCTCGCCCGTCCCTCCCTAGGCCAGTGACCTCAGACCTGCTTGGCCCCCAGGGACCACAGACTCACCATGCTACTGCGAGAGTCCCTGGCCACCGCCAACTGCAGGGCCACTGTGATTGCCCATGTCTCGGACGCACCAGCCCACCACGCCGAGACGCTGAGCACCGTGCAGCTGGCTGCCCGCATGTACCGCCTGCGCAGGAAGAAGGCCAAGGTGGGCCCCGCCCCTGCCTCCCGGCTCCCGCCCCCTAGGCAGGCCCCTACTGGGCATAGTGCAGAGGGCAGCAGGGGGTCTGCAGCTGGCGTGCAGCCCTGCACGGGGCTGTGTCCTGGCCGCACACTGAGGCCCTGCCCGGAAGGGACACAGGGCCAAGCATGAGGACCCCGGTGCGGCAGGCAGATTGAAACTGCTCACACTGGGGCTGCCCCAGCCCTAGCCCTGGCCTTTGGGAGAGTGGCCCCAACTTTGCAGGGCCCCAGGAACCTGTGTGGTGGGAGGCTGGCATCTGATGTCCAGGTCAGAGCCCGGTGCACAGCCCTGTGGCATGGGCTTGTCCTCCAGTCCCGGATGCGAGTGTGTGTCGCTGTCTTTGCCTGGTTGTGGAGAGGTCAGCCCGTGCCCAGCTCTGGCAGGGTCTGGCTGGCAGTTGGGAGGGGCTGGGCGTGTGGGGGGCCGAGGCTGCCCACTCATGTCCGCCCTGTTGCTCCCAGTACGCATCTAGCTCCTCGGGCGGGGAGAGCTCCTGCGAGGAGGGCCGGGCCCGCCGCCCCCCACACCTGCGACCCTTCCACCGGCGCACTGTGGCCCTGGGCCCCGACCGTCCCGCCCCTGGCCTGCCCGGAGACCCCGACTACTCGTCCAGCAGCGAGCAGTCCTGCGACACGGTCATCTACGTGGGCCCCGGAGGGGCAGCGCTGTCGGACCGCGAGCTCACCGACAGTGAGGGGCCCCCCGACTTCGTGCCCATCATCCCCGCGCTGAGCCGCCGCCGTCCGTCAGAGGGCCCCCGGGATGCCGACCACTTCCGCTGTGGTACCTTCGCGGAGCTGCAGGAGCGTCTGGAATGCATCGATGGCGGCGAAGGCCCCTGGGGACCCCCGGGCGGCACTGACGGAGCCCAGGCCAGCCCTGCGCGAGGGGCCAGGAAGCCTTCACCACCTGAGGCTGCATCTCCCTGGAAGACAGTGGGTGCCCCCATGGCTGCCAGCACCCCTCGAGGAAGCCCTGGCCCAGACGCCCACTGCGGCGCCCCTGAGCCCTCCAAGTCTGGTGCCTGGGGTGACCGGAGAGAGGACGGCAGTGCCGGGCCTGAGCCACCTGCCCCCGAGAAGGCCGGGGCAGGAGGCCTCTGCCCAGCCCGGCCCCTCCGCCACCTCAGCAGCCAGAAGCTCGTAGAGCCCCAGAAGAGCTCGGGGGCAGGACCTCTGGCTGTGTGGCACGGACGCCCCCCGTGGGCATGAGCAGGCAGGTGGGCCGGCCCCCGACGGTGCGCGGCCCCTGTCTGGAGCGGGGCCTGCTGACCACCACGGTGACGCTGCAGCAGCCTGTGGAGCTCAACGACGAGGATGAGCTGGTGTTCACGGTGGTGGAGGAGCTGTCCCTGGGCGCGCTGGCCGGTGCCGGCCGGCCCGCCAGCCTGGCCAGCTTCAGTAGCGACTGCTCCCTGCAGGCCCTGGCCTCGGGCTCCAGGCCCGTGAGCATCATCAGCAGCATGAACGACGAGTTGGATGCGTGCGCCGTGCAGGCCCCCGACGGCCCCGCGGACCCCCTGGGCGGGGGCGCCGTCAGCTCCTGGCTTGGCGAGGTCAGCGCCCGCCCCACGCCACAGCTGCCTTTCGGCTCTGACCGCTCTGTGGGGTCTGAGCGTCCTGGGCCCCCAGTTCCCCTGGGCACCTCTGAGGACGATGGCAGCTTGGGGCTCTCGGGGCACGCCAGGCTCGGTGTGCCCAACCCTGCCCAGAGTCCTCGCCCGAGGGAGGTGGCCGCAGCAGTCCCCACACCCCGGCAGGGAGTCCCAGGCCACGTGCCCACGGGACACACCTGCCACGCAGACCATTCACTCCAGCCTTCCCCGGAAATCCAGGACTACCTCTGCAGCCAGTCATGCAGGCTGTGTGCACCCGGGCCCGAGCCCGCCTGGCCTTGGAGGTCTGCTGGAGGACCCGTGGCTGCTCCGGGCAGATGAAAGTGACCTGCTCCCCATGACCGTGGCTGGCAAGGCCCCTAGCCCGACGCTGGGCTCTCCCCGGCCAACTGAGGTCCCTGCGGTGCCGGCCTGTGCCCACAGGGCTGTGGATGGGTGTGAGGGGGCAGCCAGGGTGGCCCGCAGACCGGAGGCCGTGGCGCGGATCCCGCCGCTGCGGAGGGGTGCCACCACGCTGGGTGTGAGCACACCCACCACGTCCTGCAGGGACGCCCTGGCTGAGGCTGAGGCTGTGGCCTGCTCAGGCAGCCTGAAGGCCACCTCTGGGAGCAAGAGGGGCCTGGCTCCCAAAGGGGGCTTCTTCCCCAGGCCCAGCGGGGGCTCTCCCCCAGCCCCGCCTGTGCGCAAGTCCAGCCTGGAGCCCCGGGGCGGCCCGGCCCCAGCCACCACTCAGGCCCTGAGCCTGACCCGGGCCGGCGTTGCCACCGCCCTCCGTGGGGAGGAGGAGGCCAGGCTGAGTGGTCGGGCTGAGCCCTCGGTGCCCAGGGCCACGTCTAGCCTGAAGGCCCGGGCTGGCAAGATGGAAGTGGCTCACCGGCCAGTAGGCCACGCATCTCTGGAGCGGTGCGAGGGCCTGGGGCCCAGCAGCAGGCTCAGGGAGGCCCCCGGGAGGCCAGCCCGGGCTGTGCCCAGGTTGGGGGTGCCACTGGCTAGCCCTGTACCAGGGCCGTCTCCGGCCTGTAAGGGCACTGCCCCCAAGGCTATAGGAACCCCTAAACCCCTAGCTACAGGAGGCAAGGGTCGGAGCCTGGCAGCTGGTGGGTCTCGGGCCCTCGGTGCTTCTGGGAAGCCACCGGCCCCTGTGGCCAGCAGGAGCCCTGGCGGCCCTGTGATGGGTCCCAGGATGGTTCCCCGGGCGGTGCCTGGAGCTGGGCCCAAGGCCGGCCGAGGCACCGTCATGGGCACCAAGCAGGCACTGCGGGCCGCCCACAGCCGCGTCAGTGAGCTGGCAGCTGCTGGGGCCCCCGGCAGAGGCGGCCCCTGGTGGGGCTCGGCCGACTCGGACAGCGGCAACGACAGTGGTGTGAACCTGGGCG